GCTTAGGTGATAAATGGTTCACATACCCTCAGTATCCAGAATAGTAAAGTCTGAAAAAGTCGGTCCGACCGCACACTAATGTGCGCGCAGAGCGGTCTGGCTGTCTGCAGAGCTTCCGTCCGAGCCCTGAGAAATGTCGGAGGCATGTCGGCCCAAGTTCGCGCGATTTTGATGGCGTTGCCCTTATTGCACGTGAAACAGACCGCGCTGGCCACGCACCCTTGTTCCCGGAGGCCAACTCGAACAGGTTTGAGCAATGGCCGCCTTCCATGCTCTCTCCATGCTCGACACGTCCGCCCGCCATCAAGTTGTACGTTGAGTGGCAAAATCCAGCAGGAACTTAGTTGCCTCGAAGGCCGCCCTGCTCGAAGGCCGCCCTGCTCTCGGCATTGTGTTGTTGACTGATAGCACTGTCTGATCCAACCAGAAAGAGCCGTCGAAGAGCCGTCGAGCTACATGAGACCCAAGTCGTCGTGATGTACCAGGAAACGAAACTAGCGCCAAAATTGAGATCTCAGGATTGACATTAATTTCTCGCGCCTGCTTTCGCTGCTTGAGGCGCGCCAAACAGATCCTGCGTCTATGGCCGTGTGCAACGTCAAGTCGTTAACCGCGACAAGACCATCGCACCAACCGCGACTCTGTTGCTTTATGCGGCAGCATTCAACGTGACTCTTGCCGTGGATGGTTAGTGACCGCAATACTACGCCGTGAGCTTAGCTGCACCAGCCGTTTCTCTTTCTTCCCTTGCCTTCTCTTGCCGTCCGTTCTCTGTGCGCATTCCACTGCATGCGGCATCACAAGCGTCTTCTGCCGGGCGCGCATCTGAACTCGTACCTGGTAGGCCATCGCTTTGCTGAAAGATCAGGCGCCTGAATGGCGACAGTGAGCGTCTCCTACTTATGGATTGCGCTCGAGGTATGAGGAGCGCAAGAGCGCGCCGCAGGCGAAGCGATTTTTTGGCGGCAGGGCTTTTCAAGGTTATCTTGTGATCACGCGCGAGCCTGAGAATAGGCCCCGGAGGCCTCAACCCTCAACTAAAGGGTTGACGGGGGGTCTCAACCGTCAACCAGATGGTTGATGGGGGGCCTCAACCCTCAACCCCTCAACCACCCCTCTGGGCCGAGAACAGGGAGGGATGCCTAGGCGTGAATTTACCGCCCTAGAAATAAATTTAAAACGCGTTTATCGCCTGTTTAGCGCCGATCTTACCGCTTATTCGAATGTCTTCTTACGTTGATTCGTGAGCGATTCAGCCGTCATTTTCCCTCCTTTCGCCCGCCCTTCACCCGCTCTTCCCCCGCCTTTCAGCCGCCATTCAAGACACATTTACACAACGTTTAACCGCGTGAAAAGAACATGTTTGGCGACACGGTTTGCCTTGAAGTTACCGCACCGACGCTAAATTCAAGCCCCTTCAAGGACTCGACCGCCATCAGAACCTCCTTGAGTGACATCGCGGGGTCCAGCTCGATCTCGCCAAGCCGCTCCGCTCGGTCGGTTGTGGCTGAAGATGGGGACCAGCGTCTCTTGGCCGGGAGCTCCTCGACGGTCTTCTGCTCCTGAATGTCAATCTGCCAGTGTGCGGCCACTGGCGGGTCTTCGCGCGCGAGAAGTTGGCCGAGGTTCTTGAAGCAGGAGAGACCGGTCGTCCCGGTCTTCACCTTGATCGTGACGTCATTCGAGACGTCAACGCCATTGGCCGCGGCCAGCAGCTGTTGCAGGCCGCTCGCCTTGGTGCCGACTGGCACCTGCAGGTTCACCGAGACGGTGGGACCCTGCCTGCACGCGATGAGCAAGGGCTCATTCCCGGCCATGTGTCTCCTCGCCCCGCGAGCCTATGGCCACGAAACGCGGAAGAAGAATTCACCCGTTGCATGCGCGCGAAACCGTATGGGCACGAACCGCGGAAGAGAATTCACGATCCCGTTTTGTTGTGGTGCATAGTAGCAAGACGTGCTCTAGACAGCTAAGGGCTAAGTAAGACGCGTTCATTGTTGCAATGTCATTGAGGCAGGAAAGAGCTCGGCGAGGAGTCGAGGGCTCCCGACCCTACTGTCTGAATACGTTTTCCACGTATTCCAAATGACCTCCCAGAGGCCTGTATTCTGCCGTATTCCACCCGTATAGACTGGTTCCACATTGATTTAGCCCTCCGGCCACGTCATGGGGCCATTCGAAGTGCCGCGGCCGGCTAGCTCGTGACGGACCGAGTCCGAGGGTTGCAGCCGTGAGGCTCGGGCCCTGGGTGCAGTCTGAGGACCCACGCCTGTCGCTCGGGCGCGGAGGCGAGCCACGAGCGCATTCGGTACCCAGGTCACCCATCTTTCCACGCCCTCATTCGAGCGCCATCGCGGACACAACACTGCCTCACGCCCTTACTCTATTGCGGCTAGGCTACTCAAGCAAGACCTGGTGGCATCCCGTATGGCCAGCTCAACAACAACTTCGCGCAGGTATCG